GTGTGTGTGTGTGTGTGTAATTTATTACAAATACCTTCATTTCTGGACATTTATGGTTTGATTTCTTTGTATGTATGGATCACTTGGGTTGTTACCGACATCTGGTGAAAATTTCATGTCATTAGCACCTCTAGTAATATATTTACTAAGAAAAATGGTGACGTGTTCAATACTTATTTTACCCGCTGCATGTTAGATCTCATTTTCACATTTATGTTTATATAATATATATATATTTTTAAATCCCAAGTGTGTGTTATTTTGTTTCCAGGTCTAACAATAGATTGCTGGTTGGACCAGAACACCTCGCAACTCCCACGTCTGGTTTGGCACTGGAGATCTATCGATATGAGGTGGACCAGCAGAGAGAGGATACGTATCTGAGCAGGGAAACCTGAGCTATCTGGCCTCAGGCGCTCTGTGAGCATCTGCCCTGTCCTCCAGAATGAACTAATGAATTAATGACTGGGTGCCCGAGTTACACGGATGAATCATTTAAGAACCATTTTGAAGTGAATGTGTGCACTGAACATCTTTTTTTTTTTTTTTTTTTGCTGTTAAGGTCGAAAAAGAACAGCTGTTTTACTCATTCAAGCTTGTGCAAAATTGTGCGGTGCTGCATAGAGCTTGCTTAGCTCCATAAAATGAGTGGAGCCTCTGCAGCTCAGCCAACCTTTACTGGGGACTACATTTGCTCAGAGAGGAAAAAATGCTGACATGACTCTAAAGGCTTTAAGGCATTCAGCAACACACAAGGTGGAATGCACCTTAAAAACACACCCGAGTCAAAGCCTTCTCACTCTCTTGGTTGGTTTAATGGTGGCAGAGAAAATTAAACTTGTAACTTATTCACTGGCTGCATTTTCATTTTAAGAAGAAAAAACCCACCAAAATTCATGAAACAGTGTTGTTGTCGATCAACCCCAACGGGCCCAGCGGAGAGTGGGGCGGGGTGATAGCTGCTACTTCTAATGCAGAAGACAAAATACAGGAAGGGTTTGCCTTGGGGGTCTGCAGCTCTGAGGTAACAGGAGGACTGACGATGTTTTAAAGACTGAAGTGGAAAGTATGTGGAGCCAAGTGGACTTTCAGCCACTTTTGTTTTCTTAAATATTTTCTCAAACAAAGATGAACGATAGTGTGTTTCCAGAGGGCCATAAATATTTTAAGCAATCAAAGTAAGACCTTTTTTTAATGAAAGGCCTCACATTCCTTAAATGAGTGCATGTCGCCTGCCACCTTTTATGCTCATGTTTTAAACTAAGATTGTTTTATGATGAAAATGGCCTTTTTGTTATTCAAGTAATGCATAATCCTGTGCAAGATCTTGGAAAATAGGTTAGCTGTCCACATCAAATTATAGCTGAACTGTTTGTGTTATTTGTGTTAAGGTCGATCAGCTGTGGTGTCCATCTTGTGTTGTGTAGAACACCCAGTGATTACTTTATTAGAGGCTAGTAATTCATGAGAGATTTGGCTAACAGACAGTGTTGACTCGGACAGTTAATGCCAACATGATAAACACAGTGAGCAAGGTGCAGTGCTTGGATTATGTGCTGGGAATTACTCTCAGCTACCACACCAAATTTGACCTCACTATCTGTAAAGTCAACTGGGTTGTAGACATTTTTGAGTTGGCAAATGCTCATTAGCTGTGGCCATGTTGAATTCGGTTGATTCCCAAAAGTGATTCATTTTTAGATGTACACCCAATGATTATGTTCTGAAAGTTTCTGTTAAATCTGTCTGGTGGCTTATGAAATACACTGCTCAAAAAAATAAAGGGAACACTTAAACAACGCACGCTAACTCCCGATCTTAATCAGTGAAATATTCGCATTGAGTACTTTGTTCTGTACAGAGTTGAATGTGCTTCACAAAAGTTTGATTTACTTGGACTTAGCGTGCGTTGTTTAAGTGTTCCCTTTATTTTTTTGAGCAGTGTATTTTGCTAAGGCAATAGTTAATTGCAAAGTTTTACTAACTTTCTTTTGGTTAATGCTCAGATAATACAATGGAGGTGACTATCAACTAACACAGCAAAGTTTAGCTTGAAATTGACTGAGTTAGCAATTTTGGTATTTGTTAAGGCTGTTTAGCTGCGGCAGCCATTTTGACCTTGGTTGACTCTAAAGGTTAATCAGTTGTAAATGTAGATCCAATAATTGGTTTCTGAGAGTCAATAAATAGTGATATCATAAGACATTTTACCAACACAGACAACCAACCATACACATTGTCCTTGGTAGCAGGCCATGACAGTTTTTTTATTTTGTTCTTTTTGTATTTTTTCATTTTTTTTGTATGTTTTTTGTTTTTTAAATCTTTCAAACAGATAAACTGGGAAAAAATGTTCAAATTTTCCAGGCTTTTTCTTTTTTCTTTCTTTTATTTAGTTTATTTGGAAAAGGTGTAGTACAGTTAGCATTCTCAGTAAAATTATAATATTTTAAAAATATCCCTGTGAGATCATTTTGTATATACATTTTTTATAATATCTAATGCACTGGATCAATGATCAAACATATAAAGTGCTTTTGTCCAAATTATTTAGTGTTTATGCATCTAATGTTTAATTTAGACCTTTTTAGTCACATTAAGTATCACTAATGATATGTTAATTTATGTTGACCTATTTCAAAGTGGTGGTTCCCAAACTTTTCAACTTTTGACCCAAAAAATACCAGCAGCAGAGACATGTGACCCCAGTTGTTGTTGATGAACATTGTTTTCACGTCATATAAACAAGAGCAAAGTAACATTATTTATTACGCTATTTTTGTCCATTTTAAGTACACTAACTTTACTCTTTTGTAACAACAAAGGCAAAAAATTATTGTCAGTTATAATTTTTTTAGTGTAATTAATTCAGAAAATCTTTTCAGGACCCCACCTTGATGTTTCGGGACCCCAACTTTGGCAACCACTGTTTTAGAAGGATTTTTTATGGCCATCTAGAACACAAAAACGGCTACACTAAAGCCAATTTTACATATATGGAGCTAAACCTGGTGTGGTTGTAATTGGGCATCATTCCCATACATACTCCATTCACTGACGTATTTCACAAGATCTCAAAGTATTGCATGAGATCAAGCATATTTGACCAACAGAAAAAGTTGGCCAGACCTACGTACCTGCCTGTGGATCTATTCATGTCAGACTATCCTTAAAGATGAATTGTTGGATGTGGTAGAGGGGAAAAAAGATATTTGCTTATAGTCAAATTAATCTGCATTTGCAAAATATACACCACAGTTTTGAATTGTGTTGACTGGGAGTATCAACTCTAAAACATGTAAAAAGATTACTTCACAGGTCTTAAACTGGTAGCCTTGATTTATTATAATCTGCTGTGGAAGAACCAGGGTTTTACATAAGATCTAAATAACYAACAGCACAATCTGTCTATTTAGTCCATTGTGCTTCCTCAGTCACTTAACCTACTTACTAATTCAAATGTATATGTTAGCGTACAATATTTTGCATCAAGGTGATTTTTGAAGAAATTTTAGCTGAATACGTTTGTGGTATCTGCATAAGAAATTGGCAAAACTGAACAAGTTATATTAAAAAAGGGTTGAAAATGGCTTTTAACACACACACACACACACACACACACACACACACA